CATGACCTGAGCCGAAGGCAGTCGCTTAACCAACTGAGCCACCCAGGCGCCCAAATTTTGAATGCTTTTATCATCCAGAAAGTATTACTGTTATTATAATATAAATTTTAACACTGAGGGTCTCAAAGTATAATGAGAAACAATTCCAGAACCTTCTCCCCTAAAAGCAAAGCAAAACAGTTTTGGAATCCTACCCCAGGGAATCAGAAGTTTTGAAATGTAGTATCAAGACACTATAGCCTGAGGTTAAGAGCACTAACTAGGGAATAAGGTACACGTGAGTTCAGATCCGATCTCATTAAGTTCTTCAATGTCTCAGACCTCAATGTCCTTATCTTTGCAATGGGAGTAATAATCAGGTATACTTCATCAGGATATCAAAATAAAACTTTTTCTGGGCCAGGGCTCAATAAATGTTGGCTGCCACTGCTACTGTTACTTATCAAACTACTTTAGAAGTCCCCAAATCGGATAATTGGAGAAAAGAAACTATATGAAAACATTTACCCCATTAACTTAGGTAAAGTCTGCTAAAAATCAATTTGAAGGTCAAAATTAGATACACTTGTCAAAATGACAAGGTAATACAAAGATCAAGTACAGATGGCTTATCTGGAAGTTGGAATCTATGTATTTTTAAAGCCAAACTTACTGAGGTTTAAGTTAAATACAGTAACATTTGCCCTTCTCGGGTGAGCAGTTTTGAGTTTTGACGAAGGTATGCAATCATGTAACAACCACTGCAAGCAGAACCACATTTTCACCCCCTCCCAATGTGCTTTCCTTCCCCCCACCCCCAGGTTCTGGCAACCACTGACCTCATTTCTGTCCCTATAGTTTTGCCTTTTCCAGAATGTCCCATAAATGCAATCCATACATATTTGAGAAAACAATGCTGTGAAACTTTTTTAAACCCTTCTTTTTTAAATGTCATTTTATTTTAAAGATTTTACTTGAGAGAGAGAGCGAAAGAGAGAGAGCATGAGAGGGGGGAGGGTCAGAGGGAGAAGCAGGCTCCCCACTGAGCAGAGAGCCCCGACGTGGGACTGGATCCTACAACTCCGGGATCATGACCTGAACCAAAGGCAGTCACTCAACCAACTGAGCCACCCAGGCGCCCCTAAAGCCCTTCTTAAAAAACATTTTGAGACATAATTTTTATATGGTGATTCGTGGCACTCAGGATGTTACTGGTCAATCACAGGTGGATTTTGTTTAACCCAGGTGACATGCGTTGGCTTCTAGGAAGGCTGAACAGGTTTTCTGCTACCGTTGAGCCTCCAAGCTGAAGTTCTCTCTCTATGGCTACCCCTGTAGATCAGGTTCTCTTCCTTTCTTTCCATTTTAACTGAAAAGTTTGATAAATAATGGATAACAGAAATGAATTTGGGCTTGCTGAACTTGAGACTGAACTAAAAGACTGTATGGAGCTCTAGGTGAGAAGCAACAGGACACGTGGGGAAAGTCTTTTAAAATTTTCAAGGCTTCACATGTTCTAATAAATCAAATAAGGTTTTAAATTGTAAGTAAAGCTGGGCGGGACCGGAAGAACATAAGAATGAAGAGTCAACTGTCCTTAGCTATGAAGTAAGCAACTGTGTCAAACAAAGTGACTCACTCATGACCAAGTGGCGCATACAACTGCCGGCGCTACTAGGGGATCACTGTGCACACTTATTGTTAGTTGCACTGTGCCCCTGGCAGGACAGGCCTGGGCAGGGAACTCTTGAGAATATGCCAACCGGTTTGGAGACAGTTTCTGACACTTGCTGGCCGTGACCTTAAATAAATCACTCTGACCTCTTTCTTGCCCATTTTTCTACACAATTGGAGGCTTGATCCTTTGTGACAGGCATTACGGATAATTTTCCCAGTTTATTATGTCTTAGAGTTTTTTTTTTTTTAGATTTTATTTTTTGACAGAGAGAGAGAGACAGCGAGAGAGGGAACACAAGCAATGGGAGTGGGAGAGGGAGAAGCAGGCTTCCCGAGGAGCAGGGAGCCCGATGTGGGGCTCGATCCCAGGACCCTGGGATCATGACCTGAGCCGAAGGCTTAACGACTGAGCCACCCAGGCGCCCGTCTTTGACTTTCTTAGGCTGTTTTTTGTCATGATGAAGTTATAAATATGGAGAGAATGTCCAGTTGACCAATCTTTTTTCCCTTATTGCTTCTAAAGTTTGAGTCAAAGAGGAATTTACCTGTTTTCTTCTAATGCTCGCATGGTTTCATTTTTTTAATCCACTGTTACTACAGCCTCCAAGATGACCCCCAGTGATCCCATCACACCCTGGTATTTTGGTGTAGTGCGTGTCCACAACGAATAGAGAAGACCAGTGTAAAAACAGCATACTATGGAAATGGCAGGTGACTTCTCAGGCTAAGTCATAAGACGCATTGTGGCTTCTTCCTCCCTCTCTCATGGGTCACTCTCTCTGGAGAAAGTTAAATGCCCAGTCTCAAAGACATTCAAGTGGCTCTGTGGAGAGGCCAGTGTGATGAGGAACTGAGGCCTCCGGCCAACAGCCATACAAGTGGGCCATTGTGGAACTGAATCTCTCAGGCCCAAGCAAGCCCCGGCCGATAGGCTGACCACAATGTCATGGGAGATACTGAATGAGAACCACCCTGCTAAGATGTTCTCGAACTCCTGAGCCACAGAAACTGTGAGGTAATGTTCATCATTGTAAGCCACCAAGTTTCAGAGGAATTTGTTAATTGCAATAGATTAATATATCCGCAAATTAATTTTTCCTCTAAGCAGATCACATTAGATTTGAATATGACATTTGTACCCCTTTTGCTACTCCAGGGTGTATTCTCTGCTTCTGTTCTTGTTCTTAGCTACAGTTCAGATAACTGAGGCTACAGGATGTGATCTGTGGATACATACATAAACTGGTATCACATAACCACAGAGCCTCCTAGGACCAACACAGCTGTGTGCAGTTCTCGAGACTGTTCTGTGTTGGTTAAGACCCAACCAAAGTATACCAATTTGCTACACACTCCAGAACCTGGTCATCTCACTCAGGAGTGACCAGCGTTTGGGAGAAGTAGCTGATATCAAAATAAACATTTTTTTAAATCTACAAAGCGATGGTGTTATTTTACAGTGACTAGTGTGTCCCTTCTTTTTTTTTTTTTTTTTACTAGTGTGTCCCTTCTTAAGAGGCTTAACCACTCTGTGAATGGCTTCTCTTCTGTAAAATGGCAAAAACTATTTCCACCTTATGTGGTTTTGTGAGGATTACACAGCTAATACTTACAAAGTTCCAAAAGCCTCACACACAGTAAATGCTTAATAATATCATTATTATTACAACTTCTAGGATTGAATAACCATTACTTCAATGTTCCAAGCTAGAACTTAACTCCTGTCTCTTGCTCTGCATTTTCAATCAATTACCACGTTACATCAAGTCTACCTCCTAAATATTCTGTAAATCATTCCCTTCTGCCACCTTACCCTCTCTCCGTGGCCACTCTCCTAGTTTAGGCCTTCATTATTTCTTATTTCTTGCCTAGCACAGTCCATGGGTCATCCAATCGAGTCACCATGCCGCTGTTAGGTTGACCTTTGAAGATATGGACTCGATCATATTACCTCCTTTTACAGCTTCCCACGGCTCACAGCACTGGAATCACCTGGGGAGTCAGGGAGTGTGAAAATACAGGCTCCAGGGTGCCACTCCAGACTCTACAATAGATTCTGAAATGATGGGTCTCAGAGCAGAAAGCCACATGAATTTGGGAAGCAGTTCAGGAAGGGGTTCCCCAACTGTGGATTCTGTGGACTCAAGATAGATGAAAGCTGGTAGACCCTCCAGTAGGCCATGTGTCCTCCCTTGGCCTCCGTATGTGCTTCTCTCAGTATGTGGACCCATTTTTTGTTTGTTTCTGGGATGCAGCCAATACTGGGATTTGCACCTTTAGAAAATGATGCTAACAAAACCAGCCTGAAAACTGGCAGTGTCATCTGTGGATTCTCCCCCAGGAAATAACTGACATAAAAATGGTAACTCTTAAATGAGGCCCACCAAAAGAATAGTATATTTCATTCAAAAACATAACAAATGTCATAATAGCTATTGTGGGAGAAGCTGTTGGCAACTGATGAGGAGTTGTAAATGAGAAGATTCTGATTTAAACAGGCTCTAAGAGATGGTAATGCATCTCTTGGAGGTGGGAGTATTACAGCCACTAAGAAAGTGAAGCAGAGAGAAATTCCCATCTCTAGGCCTGGGTTAAGCATCTCCCATGAAAGTGGAAATCAGCAAATGACCTAAGATGCTTAAGGTGGTCCCAGGTGCCCTGACAATAAAAGGTGTCCAGAACACAACACAGATCACCCTGAGGAGCAGGGACGCAAGGAGGGCCTTTCGCATTCAGGCTGTGCAGTGAGAAACTCATAATTTGGCATCTGGTTCATCCATCATTTCCTCATTGGTGGTATCAGGTGAGCCGGCAAAGCTCAGAGACCTACCCTTTGGACCTCCTTCTCTGCCAAAGTTATACACGTTGGTATCGAGACGTGTGGTTCAGGGATTAAGTCTTAGGTCTTCGGGTTTGGTGGGGTAAATGTCCGCATCGCATTTTTACCATGGCAGGTCAGGTACACCCCTAAGCATTCCTGCTCTCCGTCCGAGTGTCCCGGGTGCGGACGATGAGGCCCTCCTTTCAGGCGGCTTGAACGACAATCCCTCGCGGGGGACAGTGACAGCCGTAGTCCTCCGAATGACCCGACTGGGAACTAAGGCACGAGAGGCGGTGTTCGTTCGCCTCGGCGCCACGCCCCTCCCACAGGCAGGCGGGGGTGAAGGCCGAACTGCCCAAATTCACCCGGCGCCCAGGGCGCGCGCCACGCCTCAAACTCGTCCTGTAAGACGCGGGCCTGGGTCCCCAAGCCCAGGACAACCGCTGGGGGCGATAGGGTCGGTGCGCAGGAGCTCCTGCCGCGCCGCAACCCGGAGCTCGGCAGCCTCCCGCCGCCGCCCGCCATGAACGCCTTCCGGCAGCCGCGCGCCAGCAGCTGGCGGCGGGCAGCCACCATCCTACTGGCGGCCGGCTGGGTGCACCCAAGCCCCGCCGCCCCGTCTCTGCCCCCCGAGGGCTTCCGGCTGCTGCTGCTGCAGCGCTCCGGGAACCTAGGCTTCTTGCCCGGGGCGCACGTCTTCCCGGGCGGCGTGCAGAACACGGCAGACTGTTCGGCAGACTGGCTGCGCCTCTTCGCGCCGCACCACGGGCCGCCGCTCTTCGGCCTGGGCCCCGCACGGTCGCGGCCGGCCTCCTTCCCGGGGCTGCCCGACGTCGCCGCCGCCGACGACGCCGCCGCGCTGCCGGATGACGTAGCCGCCCGCATCTGCGCCATCCGCGAGACCTTCGAGGAGGTGGGCGTGCTGCTGCTGCGGCCCCGGGGCGCCCTCCCCGCCGCGCGCGAGCTGGGCCGGGCCCTCGCGCCGCCACCGGGCCTGGACGCCTGGCGCGACCGCGTCCGCCGCGACCCGCGCCACTTCCTGAGCCTGTGTGCGCACCTCGACTGCACGCCCGACATCTGGGCGCTGCATGACTGGGGCGGCTGGCTCACGCCGTTTTCGCACCGCGGCAAGCGCCGCTTCAACACAGCCTTCTTCTTGTGCTGCCTGAGCGAGCCGCCGCAGGTCTACCCAGACTTGACCGAGGTGGTGAGCTTCCAGGTAGGGCGTGCTGGGCCGGAGTGGGGACCCACCGGAACTTGAGAATGAAGGCCCCGGCCAGCAGCCAAGGCCCATCTGAAATAAGCCCAGCGTAGAGAGGCTGATTACAGGTGTTCTTGCCTCTGTCATGGGTCTACAGCTGGTGGACCTAATCTACCTAACATCGTGGCTTAGCCTGGCCGACCTCAAACGTGCTCAGAACACTTACATTAGCCTTCTGCTGGGCAAAATCACCTAACACAGTCTATTTTGTAACGAAGGATTAACTATCTTATGCAATTTATTGAATACTGGAAGTAACAGAATGGCTGTATGGTACAGAGTGGGTGTAAGCATATCCTTTGTTTACCTTCAGGATCTCATGCCTGATTGTGAGCTTACTCATTGCTCCTGGCCAGCATTACCAGTAGTGAGTAGCTAGCTGGGGGGGAAAGATCAAAATTCAAAAGTAACGTTTCCACGGAATGCATATGGCTTTTGGAGCATCCCAAGTTTGCGAAATTGTAAATTGAACCAAAGTCCAGTTGGTGTAGCTTCCTCAGAGCCATAGAGTTAGTAAGTCACAGAGTGGTCATGGCACTGAGGAAGTCCGGCCCTCAGCCCTACAGGCCAAAGCCAGGACCTTGGTGAAGTGCTTTCTGCTTTCCCCTGCTTCATAGTCCCAAGGCCTTACTCTGCCTCTCCTGAGGGAGATCCCAGGAGTTGTACAGTGCTGCTCAGATGCCAGGCTCCTTCCTGAGCGCTTTACCTGCATTAACTCATTTCATGTCCACAAGAGTTCAATTATGTCCTCGAGAACATACTTTATGTGGTTTCAGTCTTAAATTTATTGAGACTTTTTTTTTTTTTTTTAAAGATTTTATTTAACAGAGAGACGCAGCGAGAGGGAACACAAGCAGGGGGAGTGGGAGGGGGAGAAGCAGGCTTCCTGCTGAGCAGGGAGCCTGATTCGGGGCTTGATCCCAGGACCCTGGGATCATGACCTGAGCTGAAGGCAGACGCCCACCGACTGAACCGCCCAGGCGCCCTGAGACTTGTTTTATGGCCACAAATATGGGTCTGTCTTGGTGAATGTTCCCTTTGCACCTAAAAAGAATAATGCTGTGCTTGATGGAGTGTTTATAAAAATGTCAGGTTAAATTTATTGGTAGTGTCTTTCAGTTCTTATGTACCATTTTCTTGTTCTATCAGATATTGACAGAAATGCTGAAATTTTTTTTTTTTTTAGATTTTTTAAGTAATCTCTACACCCAACATGGGGCTCGTAGTCACAACCCCAAGATCAAGAGTCACATGCTCTACTGTCTGAGCAAGCCAGGTGTCCCAGGAATGGTGAAATTTTTAGATGAGTAATTATGGATTTGTCTTTTTCTCTTTTAGTTCTATTAGGTTTTGCTTCATGTATTTTGAAGCTCCCTTGTAAGGTGCCACATGGATATTTAGGACTGTTAAAGCTTGATGGGTTGACCCTCTGATTATTATGAAATGTCCTTCTTTATCCCTGGCAATATCCCTTTTGCTGAGATCTGAAATTTACTCTGATGCTAATATAGCCACTCTGCCTTTCATTTAATTAGCAATAGCATAGTATCTTTTCCTAGCCTTTAATTTTAACCCGTGTCTTTATATTTTTTAGAAGATTTATTCATTTTAGAGAGAGGGAGAGAAAGCATGAATAGGAGGGGCAGAGGGAGAGAGAATCCCAAGCAGACACGGGCTCATGACCATAAGATCATGTCCTGAGCCAAAACCAAGAGTCGGATGCTTAACCGACTACACCACCCAGGCACCCCTGTGTCTTTATATTTAAAGTATGTTTCTTGTAGGCAGCATATGGTCATGCCTTTTTTTTTTTTATCAATATGACAATTTCTACCTTTTGGGGTGTTTAGATTATTTATATATGTTTATATATTTAAGTATTTATATTTAATTCAAATCTACCATCTTGCTTTTAGTTTTTTTATTTGTCCCATCTATTCTTCGCACTGTTTTTCTTTTCCTGACTTCTTTTGGATTATTTAAGTATTTTTTAAGAACCCTGTTTTATCTCCATTATTGACTTATTAACTGTATCTCTTTGTGGTTATGCTAGGGTTTGCCATATATAGGTTTCATTTCATGTATCATGTTAGAACCTTACAACAATATACTTTCTCCCCCCATGTCTGTTAGCTTTTGTTGTCATACATTTGACTTTTATTGTTATGAACTCTACAATATACTGATTATTTTGCCTTAAACAATGTTTGAAAGACTGTGAAAATGAGCAAAAAATGTCTTTTATGTTTACCTTCATATTTAACATCATTAGCACTCTTCATTCCTTTGTGTAGATTAAAATCTACAACTGGTTTTTTTTTGGCCTGAAGAACTTCCTCTAATAGGTCTTGTATTTCAGATCTTCTGACAAGGAATCTTGTAAATTTTGTTTATCTGAAAAATACTTTATTTTGCCTTCTTTTTTTTTTTTTTGAAAGGTATTTTGGCTGGGTATAGAATTACAGGTTAACAGTTTTTTTCTGTCAGTAAAGATGTTGCTTTGGTATATTCTGGCTTGTGTAATTTATGATGAGAAGTCTGCTTTTAACTCTGTTCCACTGTATGTAATATGTTTTGCTTTGGTTTGGTTTTTTTGGTGTGTGTGGCTACTCTAAATATTTCCTCTTAAGCATTGGTGTTCATCAATTTGATTATGATGTGCATGGTTTTCTTTTTGTTTTGTTACTTATTCAGATATTTTTCACTTTTCCCTATTTTCTGGGACTCTAGTTACACATTTATGTTGGACTACTTGATAATGTCACTGATACCTTGTTCATTTTTTTTTTCAAATATTTTCTGTCTGTGCTTTATTTTGGATAGATTCTATTGCTACATTTTCAAGTTCTCTCATATGTAGCATCTAGCCTGCTGTAAATACTATCCTATGTATTTTTCATTTCAATTAGATTTGGGTAGCGACCTAACAATTTCAAATCTCTGATTGCCTCTGGAATAAACCTTAGGAACCCCGACCTTTGTCTTCCACAGTGGTCATCTCCATCAGAGGCAACTGAGAGTTTCATATCAAAGGAAATTTGGTTTGCACCTCCACAATTTTATGAAATAAGAAGACTGGGAAACTTTGCCTCTCTCTCTGACTTGCACAAATTTTGTTTGGACGGTGCATCAGAAGGAATGGAAAGATGGCTGCCGATCACATTTTTAACTGCTGATGCAACGCTCCAGCTTTTACCAGGTAGGTCAGTGAAGCATCAGTGCTTTTTCACATTTAGTATTCACATTCAATGCACGGGGCTGTATGGCAGTATTGCCCAACACAGAGACATGAATTATCATCTGTTTTACACAATACAGCAGTTAATATTGAGTAAGGTCTAATTCTATAAAATATCCATAGTGTTTATTATAACCAAAAGTTCTGATAATTCACCTTATACACACACATATACATTTATTTAAATGTTTCCCAGACATTGACAAAGTTCTTTCTTATATATTATCTCACTTTTTTACATTTTAATTTTGAATCATGAGAACAAACTAAAGTTAAGAACTTCTGTTTTCAAATACACTTTATTAAGAACTGGAATTGTGAACAATTGTCAATTTATTTGAATTGGGGAGTTTGTTGGTGGTCGATTGTTGGGCAAGTGCCGGGGGGGGGTTTTATGTCAGTTTAGAGCAGGGCTTTGTGACCTGTCTCCCGGCTAGCTAATTCTCAGAATAGCGATGATATTTGTTCCTCATCTTACAGTGGGATAGTTTAGTGCTTTTGATGTGTAAAGGTAATTTCTGTAATTTAACCTTCAAATTGTTAGAACAGCCCACATTGAAACCCAAAAATATATGGATATCAAGGCCAATATTAATATTGACTAGGATAAAGTGAGTCATGGGCCAGTCTAAAACTGATAGGTCATGATGAAAAAATACCAGTCATAAATATTTATGTGCCCAAAGAAAATTCTTGGCTGGGGAATGGGGAGGTGGGGGATGTGGGTATTAAAAACACAAGAAAGAAATTTAGGTAAGCTCATAAAATTAGAGTTACTTCACACCTGTCTCAGTTCCAAACACAACATAGATAAAAATAAATACCAATGTGTATGTCACTAACGTATTGGAATGTTTTATAAAATAACACTGGAATCAAAATATTTTTCAGGAGATGAGCTGTACTTAGAAGATTCAGAATTTTTAGAAAATGTTATGTCCTCTGAAAAAAAGACTGAAGAAATCATGAAGGAAGGCAAGATATTTCACCGACTAGTGTTACACAGCCACCATGTATATAATCTCCACGTGACTATCCATTCGAAGTATAAACAGGTTTATCCTAAGACCTATGTAATAAGTAAGAGCCGTTTGTAGAGTATTGCTTATTTGTACTTAGTTGACTGCTTGAAGTTGTCCTGTGGAATACTGAGGGTTGACTAGACTTGCTTGGAGCGTAAGGACCTGCCCAGAAGTTATAGTACAGTCCTTCACATTTCAAGTGCATTGGAGTACTTCCTTGCTTATTTCATTCTTCAAACCTTATAGTATCCCACAAGTATCAATAAAGTGCTAATGATCTTGATCTCAGATTGAGGAAAAAACCTTTCACAAGGGTTTCCACTTCTGTATTATTTTATTATCAGAAGTTTAAATAAGATTTCCGGTATAGGGCGCCTGGGTGGCTCAGTTGGTTGGGCGACTGCCTTCGGCTTGGGTCATGATCCTGGAGTCCCGGGATCGAGTCCCGCATCGGGCTCCCTGCTCGGCGGAGAGTTTGCTTCTCCCTCTGACCCTCCCCCCTCTCATGCGCTCTCTCTCTCTCATTCTCTCTCTCAAATAAGTAAATAAAATCTTTAAAAAAAAAAAAAAAAGATGTCCGGTATATTAGCACTTTCCTTGATGTGCTTAGGAGATGGATCCATGACCCCTTTAGATTTGCTGCTGGAATTAGCTGAAGGGTGTCTGATTACACAGGGGACAGTAGACTGAGATGACCTTCAAGTGACAGGGTCATTATTTTCTTGTATGTCTTTAGCTTGATGATTAACCTTCAATTCTGTTTACTACCAAATGGCCTCAGTTATTAGGTTTACCAAATGGGAAACCTATTTTAAAGAAATATGAAGCCATCACAGAAGCCATAATTATTTTTACTCTGGAGCAGTAGGTAATGAATACAAAGAGATTAAAGATCTGTAGAACTAGTCATCATTCAGTGGCGTTTTATTAATGATGCTTATTTTCAATATTGTTAATATGGGTAATTTTTTCATGTTCTCAAGAGGAATACTGTTTTGATTAAAGATGGGAAATGGCTAAAACATCAATTCTGTTTCAGATCCTTGACAATATTATGCATCATACAGTGGATTTTATTTTTCATGAAATGTCTTAGTTTTCCTACTTATAAAATAGAGGTATTGATGAATAAGGTATATGTGTATTACTTGGTCTTGGCTAGAGGAATACGTCTACATTAGTGGTTCTCCACTCAGGGCACTTTTGCCCCTCAGGAGACATTTGGCAGTGTCTGGAAACATTTTTGGTTGTGAGAGTGAGATGCTTCTACCACCTAGTGGGGAGAGGCCAGGGATGTGGTTAAATAGCCTACAATGAATAGGACTTCTCTCCACAATAATTATCTGGTCAAGGTTAAGAAACTGATCTAAAGTAAAATCTGTTTTCTTCAGTGAATGGTTCCAATATGTAAATTTTGAGAACCATATACTGTTAGCATTCCCTCTGGCTTCTGGACCTACAGAAGTTCTCCTTACTGATTTTTGGCTTTGAGCATAATACTTTTTCATTCTCACAGAAAACAATGTTATAGCTGGAAGAGAACTCACTGAACACCTTTCTTTTGCCAATTAGAAAACTGAGAAACAGATTCACACAGCTTGTTAGTGCCATAACTAAGAGTAGAACCTGATGCTTTATCAAGCAGGTGACATCTGTTACCTACCACCAAAAGCAGAAATGGTAACAACTCTGCCTACTGCGCCTTGGTATCATAGCCACCAAGGAAAGCACAGCACAGCCAAGCATTGGATGGAATAATGCTGTATTCACATAGAGAAGAGGCAGAGCAGAATCTGCTCCAGTAGTTCATGTCAGGCCCCCACGGCCCGCAGGTATTTCCTCTGCAGTTGAAAGAGGGTAGTTGGCCTGCAAACACCCCTCTTGTGCTACAGAAGGACCCCATCTTCTGCAGTGGACAGATACAGTCGTGGGATTGGCCAGGGTCCTATGACACACATGCTTACGCAGAGCAAAGGAGGACAACATTGAGTCTGAGACAGGGAAACACATCCCACACAAGGCGATGAGGCCAGCACAGGCTGTGAGGACTCTTTCTGTTGGTAGGCGAGTGTTCCAGTCTCACTTAGGTGTCTGGGAGAGAGTCAGAAAATTGCATGGTACCGCCTTTCCCAACCCTCCTAGCCCTACACCCTTTTTGCTAGAGTTAACGTGGTTCAGTGGGTGATTTTAGGAGACGTGACAAAGAAACGTGACGTAGTTTCTTCATAACGATGTATTTTTGTCTCTTTCTCATCTGAATGAAACCTTGGCTCCTTCCAAGAATTCCTTTTGGAAGACTGTCCCATGACTTCCTACCTGTTGTGATACCCTAAGGCCCCAACACAAAATAATAGGGCCGTCCTCATGAGCCAAAAAAGAGTGTTTTAGAGCCCAGCTTGCGAGAGTTTGTGGCATTTACCATATGCTCTTTCTTACCTAATGTATTCAAGCCACCTAGGCCTCAGATGCAGAAGCAGGAAGCTGATCATGTGTCCCTACTCCTCCTCCTTTTAGACCCCTTCCTGGTCATACTGTCATCCCTACTCCATGCCATCTCATCCACCACACAGCCAGGAAAACTCATTTTCTATGATACTCTACAGTCTCTTGAAATTGAAGTTAACAAACTCAGGAATAAATACAAAGTCAGTATTCATTTCCATTCCCTACCTTCCTTTGCTGATTCCTTTGAATGACTTCCACAAGAATCCAAAACTGGGCAGGCATCAGCATTTCAGGTTAACATGTCTCGTCCTCACAGTTCTTTGTGAATAAAAATAAGAGTGCCCTATACTGTGGGAGACGAAAAGGGCTCAGATATAAGAGGATTTCTCTTCCGAGGGATTTTGGGGTGGGGGAGCCCTCACATTTGGGCATATGCAGTTATTTACTGTCTTCTCAAACCTCTGTTTTGTTTTTAACTTCTCTGCAACTGTTGGCAGTTTTCCACTCCTCCTTCCTCCTCTTCAACCACTCATCCTCTCTAACTTCTCCTCCAACTGACCTTTAGCTCTTAGAGCCTCTCAGTACCTGTTCTCAGACCCTCTTCTGCCCTTGGGTGAGGTAAGCAACTTCCAGGTCACATCCTTTAAAAAGAAAACTGCTTGCTCTCCACTTTCTCTTTTCCCTTCTCAATGGCTGAACATTGTGACAACTGGAGCAGCTCCCTGGCACCCTGAGACAGAAGCCAGGTGTTAGGACATAACTGCCTGCCAGACTTGGGCTGCTCACCTCTTGCTTGTTATGTGAAAGAAAGTAGAAGCCACTACATTTTGGGGTCTCTTTGTTAAAACAGTTAAGCTTGTTTCCTAACCTATAATTTTTCCCTTTTAAGCAGGTTTCCTCAGCCCAGTCTTCCCTATATCAGAAATCTACCAATTATTTAAGCTAAAAATATCAGTCATTCTCGATTCCTTCTTTTCCTTTATAGTCAGGTGACTAGCAAGTCCTGTTGATTCTGTTGCCCACAAGTATCTGGAATTTCCCATCTTCTGTCCTCTGCACTGCCATCACCTTAGTTGAGCACAGTTCTGTCTTACCTAACCAACTCTTTAACAGCCCTGTAACCAATGTAAGAGCTAGTCTCTCCATCTTCATTCTTAACCTCATGATGAATTCTCTCCTATTGAACTGGAAAAGTGCTCTTGACATCGAAATGTAAGCCATGTCCTGTCACTGCCTTCATTAAAACCCTTCAGTGGCTTTTCTTCACACTTAAAAACTGAATTAACTGTGGCCTGCAAGGCCCCACCTTTCTCTCTGATTTCATATACCCTTCTCCTACACTCCCATCAGAAGGGTCTTCTTTCTGTTCCTTGATTATTCAAAGTTCTTTCCCACCTCAGGATCTTTGCACATATTGTTGCCTTGAAACAAACGTGGATCTCTTGACTTTTTGTTCTTGAGTCTCTCTGTTACTACTACCTCAGGAAAACAGATGAGGATGAGCACCCAACATGTCGATTGTTGGCATGTATAAAAGAAGATTCCAGGACAAAGGGAAGAAAAGCATTATTTGGAATAAAATTTCCTCAAGCTGAAGAAAAATGTTGATCTTCAGATAAAAAGGTCCTGGTGCTGTCAAAGGAAAATTAACAAAAATTGTCCAATATCTGGATGATATTTTGAATTTGAAAGATAATGCAGATTTTCAGGAAGAAAAAGAGAAGATTGCTCACAAAGGTAGAAAATCAGGCTTCTGAGTGTCTGTCACAGAGTAACAGGATATACTGAGCAGGGGAAAAGGATGTGTGTAGTCAGTAATTCTCTCGTGTGAAAGTCACGGATACAATTTTCATTTGCATATGGGCTCTGAAAATTCCACCTGTTCTGAAAAAATTCACTTGATAGAAATATTATGGATAACTGAGAGACTAATCCAAACAAAAACTTTTTAAGGTAGAAGTATATAGTAGAAGTCCTAATGGTGAGTGTGGCAATCAATCAAATATAGGAAGTAAATGTGAATAATATGTCTATAAAGTACTGTAAATGTTTTAAAAAATTCATATTTTATAAATTCAAAATGAATGAAAGACTTAAATGTGAGACAGGAAACCATCGAAATCCTAGAGGAGAACATAGGCAACAACCCCTTTGACCTCGGCCGTAGCAACTTCTTACTAGACACATCTCCAAAGACAAGGGAAATAAAAACAAAAATGAACTGTTGGGACTTCATCAAGATAAAAGTTTTCTACACAGTGAAGAAAACAATCAAAACTAAAAGGCAGCCTACGGAATGGGAGAAGATATTTGCAAATGACATATCCGATAAAGAGTTAGTATCCAGATCTGTACTTCTGAAAAAAATAATGCAATATATGTTAAGAAAAAAAAAAGAAGAAGAAGTTAGCAGGAGGGGAAGAATGAAGGGGAGTAAGTCGGAGGGGGAGACGATGGACTCTGAAAAACAAACTGAGGGTTCTAGAGGGGAGGGGGGTGGGGGGATGGGTTAGCCTGGTAATGGGTATTAAAGAGGGCACATTCTGCGTGGAGCACTGGGTATTATGCACAAACAATGAATCATGGAACACTACATCAAAAACTAATGATGTAATGTATGGTGATTAACA